CGCTTTAAATACAAATATAATGAAATTAAGTTCCAATAAAGATGTGTAAAAAAAATTGAAAAACACAGATGCAATGCGAAAGAGGAGAATTAGTTTCTATGGCCATATCTTCTGAAGGAATAGTAACATACTAATTAAAAAAATATTTGAATTCTTTTTAAATAGAAAAACTAAGAGCAATTGGTTTAAATTAATCCAAGAAAATTTGAGTTAATTAAAAATTACTAATAAATTAACTAAAAATAAAGAACAATTCAGAAAAATAATTCAAGATGAACAGCTCATGTTCTCAGAATAAACTAAATCTAAAAGAGGGACAAAATGTCAGAAGAGAAAAAAAAGGCAACATTTGAAAGAATGAAGGAATATTGGAAGTAAAAGAAAAAAACACAAAAAGTAATTGATTTATCTTACTCCAAAGTGGGTGATCCGAAAGAAGAAAAATATGAACTAAAAAGGCATTTCAGGTAACTCTTTGTATTTTCGAAAATTGCAAAAAAGCGAAATTGCAAAACAACAGTATTCATGATATGAAATTTTCCTGAATGAAATGTTACAAATAACATATCTTTGAATAACGTCATGTACAATTCTTTCAAAACACGAGTAGTTTTCGGATAAATTTTGCTTGTAGTAAAGGGAATTTAAAAAAAAAATATTTTCTCAAAACCCATGTAATTTTTTAAACAAATTACGAATAAAGCACAGTTTATTTTAAAAAGTCGCAGGTTTCATCATTGAACTCTTTTTTCCAAAATCGCAAAAGTTTAAAAAATGTTTGGCGTTTTGCCTAACAGAAAACCTAATTTTGTAATCGCAGCATTGACATTTTTTGGGTTGGATACACTCATTTCATATATTGCAGGTTGAAGTATATTATAATATTCCACAACCGATACATATAATTCTAAAAATTATTTGCTGTTGTAGTACCACGAGATTGCACTTTTGGATAGGTTAGGAGTTTATGATATAACGAATGGGTATAGTTGAAGTCCAGTTAACCCCACCAATGTGGTTGAAACATAATATCCCGTTTATATCAATCTGAGTGACGATGTGAGGCCTTTGTCTCTCGCAAAATTGTCGCAAATCGGATAATATATTTTTTATAGATAATCCCTCGTGGGAGACATTATACACGACATGCCCCTGGGAATAGACAGCGGACAGCAGAAGATTTACTTCATGAACGTTCATGGCAACACACAACGGCGTTTATGCCAATATCATTAACACACAGGTGCATCCATACCTATATCACCAGATCATATAAACACAAAAGCATCATGTCTATCATGTGTGTATTGTTTATTTTTATAATAATGTAGAGAGGAATATTTTACCTTTGAACATTCACATTTGAGAAAATGTAAAGTGTTACCATTTTTTTATAATTGAATGGTTTTAAAATATTGAAATAAAAATAAACGCAAAAAATATTTCTGTTGTTAAACAAGAAAGAAAGAAATGCGAAAAGCAGCTCGACCAAGAGATATTTTGACTTGGAAGAAATGTATTGTACGGTCCATTTCCTGTTATCAAGGTTGGGGTTACTACATTGCACACAAGCAAAGTTTATCATCGGCAAGAAACGAGTAGCCTCCATAGAGGCTAGGTAATATGCGACTATAATAATAGTGATAAAAATGAAAGTAATGAAAAGTATTCTAACCAACCGAGATTACTTGCTGCACGACGCAGCCTCCCTCCCTTTGTGGCTTTTTATTAGATAGATTAACCTTTGTTCGCGATACACAATGTTCCCTCATGTTATCCATGCAGTGGGGATTTTGAATGGTAAACATTATTTCAAGCTTCCCAGAAAAACTAATCTCGCTATTGGCAAAATGTTTGTGACGTCATAAATTCGATCTCTTGACGAAAATAATAAAACACATTGGGAGGGATCGAACTTTGCATAATGGGAACTGCCAGAATGTCATTTGCCTAGTGGATCGTCATGGCAATGTAGTTCCCGAATCTAGCGAAAGCTTTTGTGATAAAGTAAATCTCAAAATGGAGTCGTGAAGCACTTGTAGTTTATATTTATTCTTATAATATATTATTAAATGGCATGTGATAAAAGTATACGAAGGGTCCGATGCGAAAACTTTCGAGCCTATTCCAACATATCAGCAGTGCACGGTTCATCTAAGTTAATACATATGTCTGACAGCCCTGAGACTATCGCATTTACACTTTCATTCGTTAACTGTTGGGTGCAGTTTATAAAGTTAAAAACATATTATATCTGGTTTTGAATATTTTGTAACGTTTAATAGATTTCTTGGATTTTGAATGCAATACACAAGTATGACACAATTTACCACTGTTATCACATTCATTCCACCCTTTTCGATGGTCTCCCTCTGAAAGAAACTCAAATAGTCAGAAGGTGAGCTAAAAATTGAAATATCAATTTTAACCTGTTCTTGAGGACGAACGCTAGCGGGTTACCAGGTACTCGTAACAGTTCGTAAGGGCGTATTTTTTTCTTCCGTCGTAGTCAGATATCCGACTCCGGCTCTTTAGCTACAATCAAATATAAATAGTTTGCGAAGTGATAATAAAATGGTACCATCACGAACAACAATACAAAATAGGACATAGTTTTATCATCAAGAATGAAGCCAATTTTGGCTATCAATCCGTGTCCTTTCAAAATGTCCAACAATTCATTTGTTCAACATGTACAACAGTACAAACGAAGCTTTTATTTGAATTGGGAGTTGCTGTTTTATAATGAGATGCTCACGTAAAATAGTATCGTTTCTACAAATATAGATAATAATACAAATAATATTGTTATTGTATCTCTCAACACTGACACAAGCTTTTATGCCAAATAACTTTACATATAACGTTCGTCGATGGGGGTATTGTTCTTGTGACCTGTCCACTATATTTTGTTCGGTCATTCTCCCGAAACCTTGTTTTTGTGGTTAGGTCGCGCAAAACAAAAAATGGAGCTGTTTGTAACTTTCAAATTATGTAATTTTTTATTAATGAAAGATAAAGTAATAAATAATAACTCATTGAAAAATAAATTTTATTCTCCACAACTTACGAGTGAAATAATATAAAACTGTAACTGTAGCCACTGTAAACATAAGTATTAAAAGTCCCCTGACCAACAATTCTCGGTATTAATTTTGAAAACGAACAAAATTTACTGTTGAATTTTTACTTTATTACTGTTTTATTGACCCTTTCTACGTATTCAAATTACTTTTGAAGATTTTGCTAGCAAAAATTGAATAACGATTGCCTAAACTTTCTCTACAAACTTTGAACTCTAAGAACTCGTTCAATTGTGTTTACAGCAGTTTCCTCGCAATATTACTTAGAGAGAATTAAGTTTTCTTCCAAATGAGTCATTATTTGTTATTTTACATTCAAATAATCAAAAGTTTTGAAAATTCATTTTTTTAGAAATTTCAAATTCATTTTTTGCGTGCTCTAAACACAAAGCAATGTTTCACACATCACAAAGTACATTTTACTTTATTTTCAACAAAATACAAAAAATACAGGTTTGGTTCCAAGGACAGAGAAAACTTTGACCTGTGTGTTACGACGATCTGTTAAGATGAGAATGTCGCTGGAGCTTCTTGAGCCAGATCACGGATTAATTACTATTTAAAAAATTTATTCTGAACCTCCAAAATAACAATGCTCATTTCACTGTCTACTTTCTTGATGCATCCCCACGCTATCGACTTTTATAAACTACCCATTTAAAATATAACTGACTTACTTTTTTATATTTGCACTATTTATTTAACGTAGTCACGACGTAAAATTTTGCTTTGATGATACGAGTTATTCAAAAAAATTTTATTACATTTTTGATACTTATAATTCATGGATATATAAATATGTCAATATATTTTTCAATAAAATGGTTTTAGGTCTTGTTTTATGTAGATAATAACAACATTTTCTATGTAATAATGTGAAACAGTCCACATCATTGCATATTCATTTTTAATCTCATCTCAGAACTCGACGAGAAACACCTGTGGCAAAATATTCTTTCACAAATATTCCTCCCCAACCTCCAAAATCAAACATTACATGTCTCAAAAATTAATGAATCGTATTATCGAGTTCTTTTTTCAGAAATTTGTATCGCTGCTTAAAACTGCATTCTATCGCATAAGCCCTTGAACCCTTTACTTTTTCATAAGTGAAAGACGCGCAGTATAAAAGAGGTTCCCCTTTACACAGTCCGCTTCGACGTCACTGCGCAAGAAGATCAAAATTATTTAAAAGCGGCTTCTTTGTGCATTCAATTGGCTGTGCCTGCAACCGCATCGAGTGAGCGCCGGCCGGAAAGCCCTCCGGCGCGTCGCCAGGCGCCGGAGCTGACAGAGCTCTTCGCGAAACCCGGTTTGGCACTGCGCCTCCCGGTTATGCAACTCGCCTCGCGGCCGCGTTCATTTGTGCTTAACGCTTTCGCCGAAGCCCCAACCCTGCGCTATTCTCATGAATTACACATTAGTGCCATTGCCTGAATAGTCTATCTTGTCCCGGGGATGTAAAATTACCCGTATGGAATTTCAAGCAATTACAGAAGCAACGAGAGAGCAAGAAAAATGTATGTTTTAGTTTCACAAAAATTAATTACTTGAAATCTAATGAGTACTAAAGTATTGCCATTGCGAACTGCAGATATTTTTAACTTTGTATTTTGAAATTAGCGGTAGCAAATAAAAATGCAATTGGAGCAATGCGAATACATTTTACTCAAAAACACTCGTTTGCGGTCGTACAAAGCTTAAGGACAATTTTCTGTGCTTTTGACTAAAAAGCTGGAAAGAAGTTATTTGCGTGTCCTGACCACAAAAACAAAGTTTTGGAGGTATGAACTCGGGATTGTATGACCGCACATTTTCATTTATTTTACACTGAAACGGAAAAATACCGGGTTAGTTCTAAGGACAGAAAAGTTGAAATACTGTTGACATGTGTGATATTTATTTCATTTTATGTAGACGAAAAGTTTTCAAACAAAGGTTAGAGGAGCGATTTGGTGCAAAACAGTGGACTGTAGATGATGAGGTAACTTGCTTCGCCACACACCTTGACAACTCGGTTCAGATTTACGTTCGAGGGACCACGGTTTTTATCTCGCGAGACGGGCGCTTTAATTGACCTGAAACGGACTTATCTCGTATCAGGACCTATCATGGAGGGAGATTTATTTAAAAATATATTTGTTATACTCAAATGTAATCAAAGTAAAATAATCCTTTAAAAGTGTAAGAGGATCGATCAACGCATGATTAAATGATTGTTGATTATTCTTGCAAGAAAGCGCATATTGTTTGAGTTAATATAACTAAAACGGCAGTTATATATTTTCTTAATAATGAAGGGAGAAAGCACAACATTTAAATTAGCTAGATGCTTTTGATAGCTTAACTGAGGGTTGAGAATAACTGGTGCTAAAACTCACAAAGAAGGTACACTGGTTGATATCAAGACGTACTGGATGAGCTCCGTGTAGACGCCCGGCATTGGAGTTGGGCTATATTGCAGGACAGCAGAGTTGTTACACCACCGAACCATTAGCTGGAGACTACGTTAGACACAGAGCACATGATTATCATCGAACCCCAATGATTATCGGAAGACGTGAGTTTGTCGCGAAGCAACACAGATTTTAGCGTGAACTAGTAGTTAGCATTTCACTTACGTGACCTGGAAACCCAAACTTGTCAAGAAGTTACATATTTTTTTTAAATATGACACAATTTACAGTTCTATATCACTTATATGTTCATAGCTCAATAATCACATTAAAATATATGGAGTTTTCAGGTTACATGTATATTGCCGAAGGATGAACAGTTCAGTGAAGGAAATTACATATAACGACATACACACTTACACACTCACACACACACAGACACACACACACAGACACACACACACAGACACACACACACACAGGGACACACACACAGACACACACACAGACACACACACAGACACACACACAGACACACACAGACATACACACACACACACACACACAGAAAAGAATGAGTGAGCAAGAGTGAGACAGACATGTTTCTCTCACAAAATCTGTAGCTCAACTGAATAGTGTTTTAAGACAGTTAGGATTTTAAACACACAGAGCGGTTCATGGAAAAGCATATTAACACGATGCCAGTGTCATAGACACACATATTAAAAGTAATGCGTTGCCAAGAGACAGGCACAGTCACGTCCATCGCTCACAAAAATTGTATCTCGACTGAGGTAGACCGTTAGCGGCTTGGAAAAGTGAACATTGTTCGCGGGTTTTTCCCGTCTATGCCAGTGACAGTGTAGTTAAACAGTTGTTAATTTATAATTATTATAAATTGCATTGTTTTAGAAGTAAAGAAAGTATGAGAGAGGCTGTTTCAGTTAGTAATTACTGAGAGAGTAGTTAATACTTATTATATTGGGCAAATTGGCCACTTAAACATGTCTTTGAAAAGTGGTGTGATGGTTGCGCGACATTGCGAGAAGCGGTGTGGCTAAATTTACGCTAGAATATATGCTCGAAATACAGGATACAAATGTACACGCTTGGCTAAAACATTTGATTAGAGCGTGCATTAGAGATATAATAGTTTTAAAAGAGTAAAACCTTGCACCGACAAAGGTAGATGCAAATATATTAAATTAGGTGACCACTGACAACAACTTCCAATATATGTGACGTTGTAAAGTGATTCATATTTGGTTATCAAAATATCTTCCAAATTCTGTAACCTGCGTAACATTCACACGTATCCAGATACATTTTGAGCCACTCTTGCAGGTGCATCAGGCGACACCTTAGGAAGAAATTTAATGATGCAACCATAGATATACGGACGCAACGTAGATATATCAACCACAGAAAAATCGACCATTTTGTACTTTTACTAAAACAAAGTGAATAAAATATAATTATACATTAGGCACGGCGATAAATATATCTTCATCAGAACTGTCCATCATTAGCTCGTGAGTTGTTTATTTCAAAATAACAGCCTTTTACTTTCCCGTATACATACGTATATATGGAATATACGTAGTATAGGGAAAGTTATATATTGCTGCGGAAAATCCGTCTGTCCGTCGAAATCGAAAAATCACTCTCTGCATGAGATTTTGTTAAAAAATCCCTCATTCGCATTTCTTATCCCTTACATCAAAATTCATGATTGCAATCTGTTTTCCGCGAATATCTCGACTACGGTAAGGAAATCCACTAAAGTTAGCTGAACGTTTAAGAAAGCTAATAAAATATACTACTAAATCCATTTTAATTCATTCCAGTAGCATTATTAGGCTTTGAGTACTTGAAGTTCAAAATTGTTATTGGAAGTTTGCCGGGAGTAAGCAATAATGCATTTGCTTACAGCTGCCTGCAGCATCGATGGTTGTAACAACGATAATCGTGGTAAACACTGCAGGGCGGGACTTAATCGGGAGGGACTGGGCAGACTTGGCAGGGCAGGGGTAACGGCGAGGATACACTACAGATAAAATAAATTATTTTGCATGTCTATTAGACGACTGTGATAAATAAAGATCTGGACAATGGACAATTTCACAACATGCAATGCTAATTGGGGAAAAATATAGTACCGTAATCTAAGCAATAGCAAATCAGAAGCATCGTCATATGTTGTCACCACAAATTATAAAATTAAAAAAAACATGACACGAGTGTCGCAGTTCATAAGTTGAGCGACGTTTGAAGTGTTGAGAGTGTGATTAATTGTGATAAAATAAGTTGCGTGAACAACAATTATGAGAAGTGTGTGCTATAAATGTTTATGTTAATGTCAATCTCATAATGTGATGTGGTATCTACCGGTAATGATGGTTCAGTGAGAACAACAGTTGTTCTGTTGTCTTTGCTAAGAGGTCCGTTCCTCTGACTGGGAAGATCGTTCAAGTCCCGGCTACACGGATTTTCGACACGCTAGAATATAACTAGGTCGAATTCAGAAGCTGTATAAGGGAGAATCTAGCGGCCAGCTGCTCGTATTGATAGTTTTCTTTGGTTTCTCCGATCAATTTTGGGGAATTAGCTAAGAAACGAGCAGTACAGTAAGAAACGGGCGACGGATCGCTTGCAATCTTCCCTTCCTTACCCTTGTCCACTCTCCCCTTACACCCAACACATACATTTGCACGTTCCGCTCAAAATACCAATCGAGAGCTGTAAAAGTCGAGCGGTGTCGCTCTGCGAGAGATCCCTGGAGGCGAAACCACAAGACGCCGTATAGGTCGAGACCGGATCCCACGTTCAGCGGAGGAAGGAAACCACCATTTGCCGGTTAGAATATGCGCTACTCTCACGGAACTAATAATAAGTAGCTGATGCGCCCGGTAATACTAAATACTCACTCACTCGTGGTTGCGATACTTCGATTAAAATAGTAAGTCCTTTCAAAGTCACTAGCTGTCAGAAGAGTCACTCTGTCATCCAATCGCGAGCTTCGTTACGACTTCAATTTTTGGTATTAAAGCTTTCGATTAAATGATTACCCCGTCTCTTTTCAGCTCGTGACCTTCAAATGACTTACTGTTTTAATCGAAGAATAGTTCGTCATACCTCACTACGTGATTGCTACTATATGGAAATGTAATAGAGCGCATGGTACACGACAATACGTTCCCCCTACTCTGTCCACTGCCTTCTTATTTTATTCGTATCTTAGTCGGCGTCTTAATTCGTATCTGCGACGTCTCTAGCCGAATTTGTTTACTACGGTACATTGAAGTCACGGAGGTTAAGGGAATTCGAGACTCGCGGGTTCGTAGTTAGGTGACCGGCTAGGAACCCCGGATCTAACGGCGTCGACCCCCTGGCCGAAAGGATAAAAGGCACTGACTGACTGCGACGTGACGAGACTTGACAAATGTAGTAATTATTCAGTAATGATAGTATTTACTCAGTAATGGAGGAGTACGCCAGGCAAAACGCTCAACGACCAACAAGGGTTAAAAGAGACGCGCGGCGACAACGCAATTTTTTTCTTTTAAATTTTCATACAGCCGTACGCGAGTTGCGTCTGTGTCCTGCTCTCTGTGGCCGTGCAAGGCGATCTGTGCGGGGACAGAGTCGGAGAGAAGTGTTGCGGAGTTGCATTGCGACAGTCTCTGGAAAACTCGATATCATGCTTCGGAATTTCTATTCCAGAGAATATACAATGTTATACGAGGGTGCTTCTACCCCTTTCATATAGAGGCGTTCGTGGTTCGTGGTGTTAGTCAGAGCCCTCGCCTTGCACCACAGGGACTAGGGTTTCAGTGCTGGTCGATCCATTTGGAATTTGTGATAGACAAAGAGGGTTCACCGAGGTTGTTCCGTCTCCCTTGCCTCTCGTTTCACCATTCTACCATTGTTCCATCATTTATATATCTTCACAATCCACTGGTCATCAAGTTCATATATCCATTTCAAGCATGACCACGGTTTGGGCACTGGTATAATTATAAAAAAAACATTCCATCTATTCCGACTTGTACCTCATCATTACCGACCTCGGCTGAGGTGGCCAGGAGCGTGTACGGACTCAGCACTTCCATCCGAAGGGGCGCGGATACGAGTCCGGCCTTGGGCATGATTGTTTCTCTCTTGTCTCTCATGTACTCGTATGTGTTGTCGCGGAGGGTCTCGTGTTTTGCCGACCCCAGATCAGAGGAACCCGCAACTGCGTTGATGTCTAGTGCATCCCATCAAGACGTAAAGGGTTACCGGCTATTGGCTGGATAAAAACTCTAGAAAAAAATGTCATCATTAAATTCCTGTACTACGTACATGTATAATTCTGATAACACACGTCAAATCAAGGGAAAAGGTCAGCAAATGTAATGAAATATGAAGCAGCATAACAAAGTCTTTATGGTTAGTTACTAGGAACTCACCAACTGAACGAGCTGACGGTATCTGACCCTTCTTCAAAAGCCGATTCACAATTACAATTTTTACTAAATTAAAAATAAAAATAAATTAATATTTTAATTATTTATAACTTTTACTTATTCTATTTTAATTTCGTGTTCCAAAATTATTTTTTTATCGTACTCTAAAAAACTAAAAAACTATACCATTTTTAATTTCATGATGATCCACTATAGAGGTCTAAATCATGCTCAAATTGTATTTAAAACTGTCACTGGAAAATTAAAATATTTTTAAAAATTCTGTTGCTTTAAATGTTTAAAGTAAACTGTAGCCTGCAGCCCCACAAATTCTGCTATCGAGTGTGTGGAAATTAGGGTTCTGCAACAGCGAAAAATCTACTCTCGAGTATGTGGAATCTAGGGACCTGGAAGAACCAACTACGTGAAATGGCAAGCGTGAATGGCAGATCAGAGCAGATATGTGACATAGCAGATAGGAATTTGTGTTGACTTATCCTCCCTCGTCGCATGACGTCGTCAGTGTCGTAAGCAGTAACGCACTGATTATGAGACTTCTGTCGTAACATCAGGTATGAGAAATTGCAGATCTAACTAAACCACCTAAAAACCTAAACCGTCTAAAGACCCCTTCACGTGGTCGGGGGTTGTGTAATACTCCTACAATTTATGTCTATAACGGGTATTCTTAATACAGATAGGTACTTTGATTTTTGCTTTTTTTCCTTATGTTTATTTTGAAGACATGTTTTAAGTTGTCTTTGTGGCATTATTAGTTACCGTTATGAAAGCCCGTCTTTTCTCAATTTCACAGTGCCTTCAACTTTTGCATCGAAGCTCGAAAATGCTTGTTCTTCCTTCATTGTCTTTACTTTTTTTATAATCACACCCTTGAGCATATTTGATTTTTTTGTTTCTCTTTGTATTACCACGATGCTTAGATTTGGATGTGCTTGTTTCCTTTGAAGCACAGTGTATTGATTTGCTCTTTATTCAGTCAAGCATAAATAAATAGAACGCTTTACGAGCACATCACAACGGCCACTTCTTCTGACGTACCCTCTTGCTTCCAAAACCCTTTGATGAATCGCTACGAGAGACATTTCAGAAAGTCTCTTTAGATGTTGCTGTGGGAACATTTTTAACTCGTATTAGTTGTGCCTCCCTCTAATAAATAATCTCGATCAAAACTTCAATGATATGACATACGTGTCATGAACTCCAACTTAAAAGCAGAATTATTTATTAATTTAAAGGTTGTAAGTAGTTAGGGTAGAGCGTACTTTTCTTTCGTGCTAATATCTACCCTAACGTAAGGGCACTTAAGGTGTTCCCATCACAACTTCTGAAGAGACTCTCAAATATTATATAGTTACAAATATATTTACATAATTTTTGCAATAAACTCCATCGTTTTCATTTCCTGGTATATTTCTACAAAGGGCGGACAAAATATTGCAATGTTGTAGCAAGAAGTGCTGAGTTTTCGACATAAAAACTTACTTTTAGGGACCCTTATACCGAAAATGTCGAGTTTTGTAGCTGTTTTCTGTAGTACTTTCTCGAATACATATTAGTTTCGTCAAAATACATGTTTTCTGGGTTCTTGATACTGAACACGTTGCAGCAAAATTTCCATCTGTCCACCCGGTCCGTTTCTCCGTCCGTTTGTAGTTTGTGATACTAGCGCCCAAACCGAGCACGGGATTTTCATCAAAATTGATATCCTCGATCGATCTGGCCCCTTGAATTTGAGTCGGGTATTCATTTTTCCGGGTATTTTAAACGACGCCCCCAGGCATTTTCAAACGTTTCTCACACAGGTCTCTCTCTCTCTCTCTCTCTCTCTCTCTCTCTCTCCTCCTCTCCTCTCTCTCTCTTTCCTCTCTTTCTCTCCTCTCTTTCCTCTCTCTTTCTTTCTCTCCTCTCTCTTTCTCTCTTCTCTTCTCTCTCTCTTCTCTCTCTCTTTCCTCTACTCTTCTCTCTCTCTCTTTCTCTCTCTCTTTCTCTCTCGCTCTTCTCTCTCTCTTTCCTCTCTTTTCTCTCTTTCCTTCTCTCTCTCTTTTCCTCTTTCCTCTCTCTCTTCTTCTCTCCTCTCTCTTCTCTCTCTGCTTCTCTCCTCTCTCTCGTCTCTTTTCTCTCTCTTCTTCTCTCTCTTCGTCTCTCCCTGTTCTCTATCTCTTTCTCTCTCTCGTCATCTCTCTCCTCTTCATCTCTCAGCTCTCTCTCTCTCTCTCTGCTCTCTCTCTCTCCTCTTTCTCTTCTCTCTCTTTCGTCTCTCTCTTTTCTCCCTTCTTCTCTCTCTCTCTTTCTCTCCTCTCTCTTCTCTCTCTCTCTTTTTCTTCTCTCTCCTCTCTCTCTCTCTTTCTTCATCTGCTTATTCTTCTCATCTCTTTTCTCTCCTCTCTTCTCTCTCTTCTCTCCTTTCTCTCTCTTCTTTCTCTTCCTCTCTCTCTTCTCTCTCTTCTTCTCTCTCTTCTCCCTCTCTCTTCTCTCTCTTCTTTCTCTTTCTTCTCTCTCTTCTTCTCTTCTCTCTCTCTTTCTCTTCTCCCTCTCTCTCTCTTTTCTCTCTTCTTCTCTCTCTTCTCTTTTCTCTATCTCTCGTTCTCTTCTCTCTTCGCTCTCTCTCTCTTTCTCACTCTTTCTCTCTTCTTTCCTTTGCTTCGCACTTGCTCAGAGCTTCCAATTTGAGACCTATAGTTTTTGAAAATGTCTGAGTAGGTTCACGTAAATTATGTTAAAATGATGAAACTAAAAAATACATTAAAAGTCTGCTTCAATTTATTAATTATTTATTATCCGTTTTGACTGTTACTGTTGACTGGTTTGACATGTTTTGTTGACCCGTTGAATGTTGACCTTTTGGACGTGTACCTGGACGTTAGGGTTGACCTGTTGACTCATCGCTCTGTCGAAGCTGTGACTGTGTGTCTGAACGTACTTTTGATGTGACAATGTTACGTGTTACGCTGCATGGTTGCTGTTTGATACTGTTGACAGTGTTGACTGTGACTGTTGACTGTTGACTGTTTGACTGTGACTGTTGCCATTTGGATCACTGGTTGCTTGACTGAGTGTTGCTGGTTGACTGTTGACTGTATTGACTGTTGACTGTGACTTTGACTGTGGACTGCTTGACTGTTGACGTGACTTTGACTGTGACTGTTGACTGTTGACTGGTGACTGTTGACTGTTACTGTTGACTGTTGACTGTTGATTGACTGTGACTGTTGACTGTGACTGTTACTGTTGACTGTGGACTGTTGCTGTTGACTGTTGACGTGACTGTGACTGTTTACTGTTGGACTGGTGACGTCTGACTGTTGACTGTGACGTTGACTGTTACTGTGACTGTTGACTGTTGACTTTGGACTGTTGACTTTGACTGTTACTGTTGACTGTTGGACTGTTGACTGTAACTGTTGACTTGTGACTGTTGGCACTGTTGACTGTTGACTGTTGACTGTTGACTGTTGACTGTTGACTGTTGACTGTTGACTGTTGACTGTTCACTGTTCACTGTTCACTATTTATTCCCCCCCTCATAAATAGAGCAACGTTTGCTTTAGAATATGACATAGGTTAAATTGTCAGTAGAAACTTTAGAATTTTGGAAATTGTTCAGTTGTTTTGTGAATATGTCCTTCACAAGTTCCTAAACAACTATAGTATTAGTCTGATAGAAAGTACAATATAATAATTTTTTGTATCAGTTGCCAGTAACATGAGTAATTCAAATTTGCTGTTGTTTCACCATTAGCTAGTCATGTGCTCTTTTTTGCAATTTTAAATATGCTGTGAATGAACGATAAGCAGGAAGGAACAGGGATCAATATGAAATAATGAATTGATGAATAGGAAGAAATGAAGAAATGTACAGATTATGAAGGTAAGCAGGAGACATGAAGACATTAGGATAGTAAGTGTTGTATTAAATACTCAAACATGCAAATTTATTTTAGTATCACAAGCTCAGCAAAGACAAATGCATATACATTATTTAGAGCACGTGAGTGTTTAGTGGATATTTGAAACTATGAAAGATTCAGTATCAGTTTTGTGGATGTGGACAATGAATGTTCACAAATACATTTAATACTATTGGACTCGTAAATTATTTTGTAGATATACAAGTTAATAGCATAACAATAGTTTTCTTCCATATTTAAGATTATTTAGAAAAAATTTTCATTATAATACTTATGTATTTGTAATTATTTCTAGTTGTTTCTCTAAGAAAAGTATTGCGACATAAATGAATATTTATTTGTCTTAATTTAAAACCATTATGTGTAATTGGTTACACTTACGGCTGCATTAAGTTGAGATCTGAATTTAATCTAAGGCAAACGTAGAAGTGATGGTCTACAGATAGTTTGAAGTTTTATTATATTTTTATTATCAATTATAATCCACATTTTTCACATTGTTACCATCCTCTTAAAAAAGATATTGCTACATTCTCTTCTTCATTCTTTAGTTTGCGAACTTCTTTCAATGGCCTATTGAATTAAATCAATTACTTCTGTTTTGAGTACAATTTACCAGATTGTGACTCTTTTCTGGGATGACCCTAGAAAGATTTTCTTTTTGTGTTTTTGCACAATAATACCACATTCTTCTCCAACAAATTCTAGATACCTCCACGTCTATGTGACAAGTCTCCAATGACATGAAATTTTGTCCTTCCCATTCAAATTAAACTATGCATTTATTTGTTTCTATTTTGGTGTGCAGGTATGAACAAGAAGGTTCTCTAACTGTAGACAGCAGCCCTCCGGTAAGCCAGCGAGCACCGGGTAATCTACGTCAGCTAAATACGCACACAGGACTTTACTTGGGTGAGTTTTTGATCCGCTTCCACACAACACAGCTCCGTAAATTGAAATTAATGAAGATCTCTTTGTGTGTGTATGTGTGCATGTGTGATTGTGTGTTAATGTGTATGTAGCTTATGTGATAGCACTAGCGTTTGTGTGGAGACACTAAATGTTAAGAAATGTTTGAAATTGATGTCTCTTCAAATACCTAACAACTGCGAGTTCAAAACACTCTTAACTGGCAACTAACTTAATGGCAACTAAGTATCTCTATGGCTGTTTTAAAATTATATTCAGTTTCAAGCTTGTGGAAATTAAAACATTTTATTTTTAAAAATTACTTTTTGAAAAGTAAGACAGAAATGTCTTGTCATGAAAAGTTTTTAATAATACAAAATAATAAATTGTTTTGTCTGTAATTAAATGCAATACCTTCATAATTTGCTTGTAAATTACTCCAGGACATAATGACGTGTCAACACAGTTTGCTATGTATGTCCATTAATGAAGTGTGATGTATTATTTGTTGTGTTTTTTCTTTTTGTTTTGTTTGTGTATGTTGTGTGTAATGCAATGATTATATAAAGATGATGTAATACTAATGTATCGTATCAAATCCATTCTGGAAATTTACTTCAGTAGGGAAAGTAGGAAAGTTTAAATTTGCTTTATTTGTGTTTACCAATTAAAGTAATAAAGTACTCACGAGCAAATTCAAAAATCAATAAGGTGCCAGAAACATGTTTTAGACCTCAGAAACTATGTGATGGTCAAAGTGTTGGCATCATTCTATGTAAATAGCCTAGATTCTACTGAAATAAATTTAACCTAATGTTTTGATTGTCTATGAAATGTGAATATATAATATTTCTTATTTCTTCCATATACTTAAAATTCCCAATTTAATGATAATTCACTGCTCATTCCACTAAATGTCTAATAGCATGCAGTTGTTGAAAGCTCCAACATGTCATACAACATCCTCTAAAAGTAAAGTAAACAATCCAGTAAAACATTATCCGTACATTAAACTCCAGAATTTTGTAAACCTGAAGATGGGAGTAAACCCAGGCTCCCAATACATAGTTATCTGTTTGATAATAAGACAATAAATAATGATAAATTTATGATAATGTTTGTTTAAATGATTGTCTAAAAAAGTAAGAATCTAATTACCACATTCAAAATTGATACCATTTTGTTTCAGTGTAAACTGATTCTATGAAGTCTTGATATACACTTTCCTCTCAAAATTGATGCATTGAAGGTCAGCTCCCAACAAAATTATGAGCTATGTATTATATTCCAATGCAGCCGAGAATGTAATTTTGTTTTGATAATTTCTGAGAACAGAAAAACTGCTATCTTAATAAAAAAATTTGTTATGAAGAAATTACGAATTTATAATATGATTTATATATTAATATATTTGAATCGAAGAATATAACTAAGGTTTTCTTTTATGATTTCATGTCATATTTTGGAAAATATTTCATTTTTTAATAAAAAATGTTTCAATGGAATATTTTCCTTTTTAGATGAATGTTACAAGTTTTATTTTTATCAAAGAAAATTTTGTTTATCTTTATTTATACAAGTAATTTCAAATCTGGGAATAAAATCTCCTCTAGAGTAATTTCACTAGTCAGTTGGGATATACAAATATAGTTAATTCCAGCGGTGGCTGGTGTCCCAACAAACTGAGGATTGCAGCTCTATTGATTGATGGAAATGTATTTTTCAAAACTCAGAACCCTAATAGACTATAAAACATAGGCAAGTCATGTAAATTAATTAAAACTAAGTTTAATAAAAGTCCACATTCAAACATTTATTATATAATTTTATGTGTAGTGTCCCTGTCAGGTGTGCTTATCTCCTGCACACATTGGCTTTGGCTTCCAATGGCCACACAAGTTTTTGTATTAGTTCTGCTTTGTGACGCTAGTAATAGAATTCATACAAAGCAAACGATTTTTTTTTTTTTTTTTTTTTTTTTTTTTTTTTTTTTTTTTTGCGATCCCAGAGTTGTAATATATTTTTCAATAAAAAACTGTGCTAGTGGTAAACTACTGCAGCAGTTATCAGATTGTCATGTTTCTGTTGATTGTTTCAATATGTTTTACATGTCTCTTGACTATTTCCGTTATTGTTGTACTTATTTAAATCAGTCCTGTTGAGTGTTTTCCCACATACACTTCCAGTTTTGATATACAAAAGTCTTTGCACCACACACTGCAAACCATTTTTATACCATATTTGGCAGGCTTACTAAGGATATATTGAATTCAGGAACTGCAACCCCTAAAAGCTATTAGCATTTCATCAATAGAAACAAATTCACTCAATGAATTGCAGTTTTGACAGATTTTTACAAAATCATCAAAAGTATCTTTAAATACAGCAAGCACTTTTCTTCTTTCTTCTCACGTATCTTTATCATCAAAACACAAATTTTTCAGCAGAAACAAAACCTTCTTGTAGCTCATGACTCGCCACAAAATTTGAAGACTTATTCCATGTTGCCCTCAATTCTATTACAACATTTGTGTGACATGTCTTTTAAGTTTGAATCAAATAAAAAACAAATAAATCCATTATTTCAGCTTAAAATTATTCTTTGCAATCCATCTTCCAAGAAAAAGATTTTTTTTTTTTTTCCCCTTTCTGAATTTTCATTCTGAAATTTCAATGTTTCTATAAAACAGAACTATGTGAGTCATTGAAACAGTGATTACACTCATCAATGGTTCTTTTTTTTACTTCACATCATTAATAATTTTTGGTCCAGGAAGTACATTTATTACATTTTTGTTTCTAATTTTGGAAATTTTGGCACCCAAATTTGTCCTCAATTCTGACATTTTCTCGCTTCTAATGTAGACATTATTATTATTATAATGTACTCCCTCATCATTATTTTCACTATCTTCCTTTTCTAAATCAGTTTGATGATCAGATTCTTCAATTCAATTCACTAAATTTACTATCACTTTCAACAAACTCTCCATCCCTTCTTTCTTCAACATCCAATTCCAGAGGAACTATTCTAATTATAAGTTCATCTTCTAATATTTGTTATTGCACATTAACAAAGAGAAATGCATGAACACTGGTTAAAAAACATTTGAAATAATAAAACACTCTCAGAAAATATATTATTTTGAACAAGTATGTAAGAACACCATTCCATATACTAGTGCTCACATTTTTGAATCTGTTGAAAAAGCATCAGTGATTTCACTTCAAGGTATTGTGACATAGTTCATAACTGAGCAGCAGATATAATAAGTTTATCATTCCCTTGTCAGATACTGTTAGAGGAATAGAAGCATAGTATATATTTATGGAAGGGAAATATTCCTTTCTTTACCAGGAAAGAACCTTCTGTTTGACTGTCTCTAATAACACGAGTGATAGTGTTAACAAGTCTGCTCAGGTTTTTCATTATTTCAAAAACTTGTGTGTATTCATTCAATTTAAGACATGAGAGAGAAACATTTTAAGTCTGAGACTTATTCTGTAACAGTATTTATCAACAATTGTGCCATCTTTTTCTAGAGTATCTCATTCTTCTTTTTGTGTATGGTCTCTTAATTTTTCAAATTACCATGTCCATTTTCAATATTTCGTTATTTCACAATCATCTGTCAATAATTCAAATATAGTCCATATTTATGATAATTTGCAGATTTCTCTGTTTGGTATTAGTACTTGACATTGTCTTAAGCTTGTGTATCCTAGTACCCTCCTGAGAGGTAATTTTTATTGTTTATCTTTTCTTCTTGATAGACAATATCAATTAATTTTGTTTGAATAGGAGAGTGCTTATCCTTTAGTGCTTTTGTACTTTTGTACTGGAGTCTTATTTCTGCTTCTTAGGTGATGTTTTTTTTCTTCTTCTTGATATTAAGTATTAAGTTGTTTGCAAATCAATAGCTTTGTTCTATTTCTCTATGCTTATTACAAAATTTAAATTTTTCTCAACGCTTTTGTCAACATCCATTCATTGTAGGTGTAATTCTTCATAGTACATAAATTTAGTTCTTCTATGTAATTGATATTTTTTCTTCATTTCTAGGTGGAATGGCTGACATTGAGCGTGCAACTCTGAGGAAGTATACGAGCGGCATGGTGGGCTGCATTTCGGACTTGATTCTTGATACTGACTACCATGTTCAGCTAATGCACATGTCCACAGCTAGCAAGAGCATTGAGCGCTGTGGTTAAACTGACATCTTTGTTAGGTTAGAGTCAAACAACTTGAGACTTACTTTATGCTACTAGGTACCAGACATACACACTTCTTGACTTTGTTAGTCTTAATATATGTATCATATTACATGTCAAGTACATATATCATGACTGAAGACATCTAAGAAGTGTGATAATGTCAGATAATGCTAAGTCTCTGTGCGACCAAGACTTCTGTCACTCCTGCCAGCAATCAAACAAACACTTGAACTTTACCCTGACCTGGTGAAGTGACCTTAAAAAAGTCTCTAACAGTACTTTATTAATTTCTTAAAACCAATGGTCTACATCCATAGAAAAATGAGTACTTGGAATTAGGCAATATGGACTCTCATATCTGGAGAGAGAAAGAGAGAATAAAAACAGGAATATAAAAATTGTACAGAAAAGTATGTGAGAACAGTTCTTCTAAGTCTGATAGAATAATACAATATACTTAAATATATGTTACAAAGACTTTTATAAGTGAAATGACCAGAAACTCAGTGTGAGAAGTTATGAAACTAGGTGAGTTATACTGGGATCAGGTGTGCTCTTGTAATATGACTGTGTGTATGTATGCGAGTGTGTGAGCCAATCCTGGGATGAAAGTTCATGAATGAATGGAATCCCTCTATTTGTTTGTTTTCTGTGACCCAGGCTATCACTCTATGTGTAGGAATGCTGTTCATAGCCATGAGAACTGGAACGAAGCTTGACCTACAATTTTCAAGTGCTTTATAGAAGAAATCCTCTTCTAACATAGTGGCCTCATACTAACCTATTGGGATAAGTGGGTTTATCAATTTGAAAGGTTAGAATACTGCTCTGGGAGAACAACCAGTGGTGAAAGTATACTATGATTAGCAGATCATATGGTAAGATCTGCCTTCTGAGAACATTGCCATTTTTTAATACATTCTGACAATTAGCCTAAAACACCACATCTCATTCATGCACTTGCATCTTATAAGGAATAAAAGTTGTATGTGCCAGTCCTCAGAAACATTGACACAGAATGATGCTAATATAGTATGTTTGCATGTCAAATTTCATTTCATCCTTTGAATTGACAAGAAAAGTCCATACATGATCAATCAAGCAATTTCTTGTCTCTTTACTGCAGCTAGGATTTAATAAAAGGGAATACATATGCTCAGATAGAGAGAACAGTGTCAGCTGATTTCATAGAATTAATGTAATCAAAGTGTATGCATGGAATGAGTGTGCACACCAGGAGAAGGGGCTGTTATTGCCTTCCGTCCCCATTCTTCATTAAACTCAGCTTTAAATATTCTTTCATATCCTGCTGACATATCCCTCTAATTCAGAATGAACCTGTGACTGGGAATGCAGTCTTTTTTTATAAATTTACGTGGTAATTAACTTAAAATCTAAGTTTACAAAGTCATCTCTTATCTCTTATAACGTTTTGAGCATATCTTCTGTTCTATGCTATTTCCTAACCTATTATTAACAAGCATCTAGTGTGTTGTGTTGGTCACTGCAATGTTGTTTCTTGTAATGAGTATTGCTGAAATGTTATGAATGATAATAAAAATAATATTATTAGTCATTATAGAAATTCATCTACTTTCACCACTGAGTTCAAATGTACAATGAATTGCTCTTTATCACAAGAGTAACATAAATGTATACTTATTAAAAGAAATTTATAATGAAAATTTGCTTTTTAAGAGAGATTTAAATTTCTTAATAATTGATTATGAAGTTCAGTCGGTATTTCTGAGTTGTGTCAAATTTTGTCACAGAGTGATCAATATTGTGGCTTTTCAAATTCCAAATGTGGAAGTTCAGATACACAAAATGTCTTTGACATACACACATTTTGTCCATCTCCCAGTCTCTACTTCTCTCCTTTCCTATTGTCCATCTCCCAGTGTTTACTTTCCTTCTTTCCACTTGTCCTATTCCCAGTTTGTTCCCTTTCCTTCTCCTTGCAGTCTTCTATTCCTGCTATATTGCATCTTCACCCTGCAACAAATTTACCTTCTCTTTCACATTACACAAAGTAAACTTGCACTTGTTTTATATGGAACAAGTGTAATAAGTGTCCTGACTTCTAAATTATATAATTCACATTGCAAAGTGATTTGCACGAAACTCTTTATTCTGTAAAATATTGGCCATTTAGTTGTCCTCTGTAATTCTTACTGCAATTTCCTAAAAATGATACTTTGACTGTTGAACATATTGAATGTTTATATGGCACAATATTAGGAGTGTGTGGTATGAAGATTGTTTAATGATTCCCACAGATATTAGAACATTTGCAAAACACTGCATTACAATTTAAGATTTTTACACTCAACACAAAATCGATCATTGGCATATGGATGAATTTTAAAGTATTAAGCAAGGACATACACTTCATCGTGCTTGAAAACATATCATTTTGTGGAATGTGAACAGTAGTTAATTAGTTTTGTATGTTTAAGATGTTTTCAGAGTGTAAGTTGATGTTACATTGTAATGAGTTACAATCATCAAACACGTGACCATGAGTTCCAGTCAATACAATATTTTACAAATTTATGTCCTCACTGAAACTTGTAGCTGTGCTATGGAAAATAGAAACAATTGGACAGATGTGTTGTGTGATTAACCCTTGGAGTATAGGCTGTAGTAATATTTGTTACAAAATGTGTGGTTTAATGGAATGTTAGTTCTTGGACACGACTCAATGATGTCATGACATACACTGATTTTAAGCTGCAATGGAAATACTTGGCACATAGTAAGAAATTTACTGCTACTGCAATTCATGCATCTGGACTGTCTCTTTCTATTTCCCTTACATCTCCTTCATCTAATCCCTTTTCCATTCTTCTACAATTGTCTTTGAAAACAATGTTCCTCTGGTCCTGTAAAGAAGCTTTCTCTGATGTAATTTATCAGTTTTGTAAATCATGAAATCAAGGGAAAGTTTCTCATTATACTTGATTGTATATTTGGCACTTAATTTATTCTACATAAGTATTCAAAGACAGCTATACACATTATAAATGAACTAATTGAAAAAGTTGAGAAACATGAATTCAAGTATTGTAAGTTTTACAGATTCTAAAAGAAGTTTTATCAACATAATAACTTTGGAATTATCTCCTATTTTTATTGCTTTTTCTTTGATTTAATTTGAATAACAACTTATGGTTTCATGTTTCTCTGTATCTCCCTAAACGAAAAAGGAAAATTTCTTACCATTGTCATAACTACCTAATATGTCCATCATTGGTGTCAATAAGGTATTCCATAGTTCCAAACATAATTACTGATAAATAATGGAAAATTTGTATTTGTAGTTTATTTTAACAGTAGGGTTTGCCAAATATGATTCTTTGTTATTAGTAGAAAACACGTTTTTTTAATAGCATTTTAAATTTGTTTACAATTACAATATATACCATTTTAAATTTTCTGGGCATAGAGCACCAATAATTATAAAATGATATCTGCTTTGTATTTCCAGAAGCATTTATCACTACTGTTCACCCATGCCTGTGCATCACTCATCACATTCATGAATTTGGATCATTGTGCAATACTGTTAGAATTTGTCAAATTTATAATATAATGCTTCACATGCAAAATAGGATTGATGTGAGGGTTCAGTGCATTTTGAAATATTTCAGGTATGAAAATAGGACCAAAATAATGATTCTGTTAACTTTATGTGTAGAATTGCTTATTTAGAATTCATGAAACAATTGTCATTTATTATTTATCAGTCCTTTTAACACTGCAATTGATTTAGAACAATCGAACAGTAGCGGAAGGCAAGTTATTTTCAAATAGAATTGTAATGTGACTTATGTGTTGTCAGTGCATGGTATATACATTTAGACTGTGCAGTAATTCTATCAGATGAGCTGTGATGATCAAGTAACAGTTTAATAGATCAAGATGTGATATACATATTTAATATTCATAATTGATAAACAGGCAGAAAATTCTGTTGCAGAGACGATCAACATTACAAGTATATTCATAAAATTTATGAGAGAAAAATAATATTTCTATGGCTTCATGTGAGTATAGATGTAATAGCGACTTTAAATTCATATGAATGTCTTCAATTACACAAGCATAAAAGATTACATTACTCTGGAGACAAGCCAATTCAATCAACACACATGAATGGACTCACCAAATAAGTCAAAAAATCAAGTAACAATATACTTAAAGTATACATTCTTGAATTAAACTATTGACACAGTAGTATATTTTACAAAATATGATTAATGCTATCACGCTCATTTGATTATGTCACATTTCCTTATTGTGTGATAATAAATGATATTTACCTACAAAACACAAAATAGGCTATATAAATATATCACAGTAATCATATCAGCAGTGAATTAAAAATGAGTGAAGATGTTATCCAATATTAGAAAGAAAAGAATCAGGATATAAACAAGTGGCAGAGTGAAGTATCATTGCTCATCATAATCATCAAATAAGACACTTTCATTTGACTTGTCGGAAATAAATTATTCTACATTAATTTTAATAAGTGAATATGATTTAACAAAGGATTCATCAGAAGATGGTTACATTGATATTGTGTTCACATACACCTCGTATATTTAAGCAAAAATATATTCTGAGTTTATGCGAGGTACTGTTATTTCTATACAATATTTCTCAATAATGTTAAGTTTGCCACATCTACTAGTCTATATTGCAATGAGCAAATCATTTCTAGTCTTGATTTAAAAAAGTATCAGAAAATATGTGCATCCTTTAAAACACACCAAAAAAAGGGAAGGTTTTTATTTATTTTATAAATTATTAAAGTATTCAGAGTGTTATTGAAGGAGAGAAACTGATAATAAAATGATTTAAAGGGTAACTGTACTATTGAAAGACTCACAAAGCAAAGTGATCTCACATACTTCAATTATTATGTATGATCACAAGTACCTTTTTTGTTTTTAAACACCTATTGCTGGGCTGGATAAACAATACTGAGGAGAATTTGCTGATCACAATCTCACTATACATTTTTAAAACAGAATTGTCATTATTTGTTCATTATGGGATGATAATAAATATTATTTACATACACATATACAAACTATTTTCACCTTTAATAGTATATTTATTTAATAAATAAATTGTTATATGCAGAGAAATTGCCGTTTTTGACAACCCAAAAAAACAACATTAATACAGAATTTTTCCTCTTGAAATATTCATATATGTTTTATGAAGTACTTCACATTGCCAGAAAATTTTTAGAAAATATGTTTAAAAATTTTTAAACAAAGACATTTTTACCGAAGCAACAGGATACATTCTCAATTTTCAGTCGTTGCTAACTTTCCTTATCTTAATGTACTTCTTTCAGACACAATATATTTGATGTTATGAAGTATCTCTACAAGATAAGAGAAAAACTGCCTTGATGTATTAATAAAGAGTCTAAACTACTGAAGCTAGAAATCTGAAATTTCAAATAATGGTCATCTAGAGAATGGGTTTTGAATACACAGTGATGTATGTAATCATTAAGTAAGGAGTTTTCAAAACTCCCCCTCTGAAGGCTAAAATAAGGGTTAGACAAACAAAAATGTGTTTTTGTTGTTTGTTTGTGTTTTGTTTCTAGGGGGAGAAGGGTCTTGATGCAATCTGTAACGTGTCTATGCATTTTGGAGTGGGGCAGGGCAGTGGGAGGGAGGGGGCAGGGCATTGGGAGGGAGGGGGCAGAATGATCAGAGTGGAGTGGGCTGTTAGAGTATGTGTGGCAGGGCAGGATCAGGAAGAGTGGGAATGGGGGGGGGGTGTAAATAAAATTACTTCTTTTTCACTTTCGTTAAAATTCATTCCTTTTTCCTGTCTAATAAATGAGCGTGATAAATAAAAACCAGGCAATACTAGATTACTGTACTTTGACATCAGAAACCATAACTGAAATTCCAAATTTTCTTTGGAAGTAATTATGGTGTGGGTCTATGGATATTTCAATTATTATTATTATCAAATTAATACAAAACCTGTTAGTGCTAGGCAACAAAATTGAAAGTTCAGAATGTTCAGTGTCTTAAAAAGAACAAAAATTATAGAAATTTATTTGTTTTTGTTTGTTTGTTTGTTTTGTTTGTTTTTGTTAAAATTAGCAAATCTCTTCTGTCTGCAGTAAAAATCTTCTAATGTTGGTAAGTATTACAACTAATTTTTCATTAAAAAAATGATGAATTTTAAGTTGTTTAAATATTTAAGAAAGAATACACAATTTTAGGAAAATCTACTTAAGTTTAAATTTTAAAACAATATTTTCAAAGTTACATTTGTGTTATTATAATTTAAACATTTTTCAAATGCTAATAACTTATTAATTTGCACATCTAATGTCTAATCACTGATTCAATACGTTTTTAATGACCTGATTCCATATCATGATTCCTGCAAATAATAAAAAAAAAAATTGTGTGTTTATAATTTCTGACATTGTTCCCTAAATTTGAGCATGATGTAAAATTTCAATTAATTAATAATCACATTCATTTGCCACAAAGCCTAGAAGTAGAGAGGAGATGAGAACATTGAGAGATTGAAAAAATGAGAAGACCTTTTATTTCAATATTCATTGTTCACAAAACTTTTTCGACCTTGGTAACGTTACAAGGAATGAAAAGTAATGGCCTGGATGTAATTTTCACATTCTATGTATCACTATATAAATCGTGGAGGAGATGGCTTTTTTTTTTTCTTTTGCCAAATGCTTTTGCACTTTTTTCTAGTGATTTATTTCATTCAACAAGTAGTTAATGCATGATAGATTCTAGAACTAGATGCTACATGATACCAGGGATAGTTGGCACCAGGAATGCCATATTGGGCAGAAAAAAAGCATCAACTTGCGGGGGGATGCAAAAGTGCCCATCTTTCCCTAAAAATTGTACAAATATTGATGGTTTCTGAAATATATGCCCACACACACAAGAGTTTTAGTTTTGAATCTTTGTAAATGTGCAACTATTATGAAAAGATGGTGTAGCTGACTTTTCTTATTAAATTAAACTGGTGCCAACCTTTTTCTAAAAATTTTACAAGTATTGATGAGTTATGGTAGGTTGGCTTTATGCACAAAAGTATTTAGTTTAAACATCTTGTACATATGCAGCTGTTTTGAAGTTACCAGCCTCAGTATCAGAATCCATTTTTTTCACTATTTGCTTTTATTCACCCCTCAAGACATTTGGTGGAATTGGGCGGATTTTACCCCTCTGATGGCGAACTTATATCAGTACAGATCTGGCAACCCTGGTTGGCATTGTTGGCAGATTTTATTTTTTAATGCAACTCTAGTTTGGTTTTGACAGGTTTGATTATATCAATGGAAACTGCATTGATTAATCTATTCTATCGTATTTTTTTGATTTGTGAATGTTTCATTGTCGAACTTTTAGAATCGTTAAGTCAAATCAAGATGAGCTAACCAACCCCACCTGTGGGTAGGTTGGCACACTACATCCATTTGAGTGTGGAGTAACAAATAAATGTCAACATTAATTATTTTAATTTCCACAATTACATGTAAATAAGTCAACTACTGTTTGGCCTTGCCAAAACAGCCTCACATTGGCAACTTCAGCAGTCTTGGTAGTTTTAAAATTAAGTACTTAAAAATTGGTCTTTGATTTCATGTAATCAGTATTTTGTCACTTTTTAAATAATACAAAGGCTACATGTCTTTTTTGGAACATAAAGTATGTAACCTTATTTGTTTCAAGTTTCACACTAAAGAGAACTTGAACTTGCGATAGTTGAACAAGGCAAAGTTGCTTCATCATTGGAGGCCATTTCAAGTACAAAATTTTAAAAATACGAATTGAGGAACTGGTTTCAAACTTGCAGAACATGGAACTAATGCCTTATAATGTGAGGATTAAAACAAAGATTATTTATTTCCCATATTTTAAATTATTTTAAAAATGCAAAAACTTCTAATTAATATTGGCATTGCAGTAATGTACAATAAAGTGGTTTGGAGTACATTACTGTTCGAAGTACAAAAGTTTCCATTTACTTTTTTTTTTTGCAGCAATGCAGGAGGCAAATGAATTGAATTGAATTGATGTCTTATTTTATGTGGCGAGACTCAGGCCATGGGGCCTGCTCTTCCGTCTGACCACGCAAATTTTGCTATGATCTTTTAACCACCTAGCAGAGAAAGATGGTATATCTTGGGCGAAAAACCGGTGATTTGAATTTAGCTCAGAGGCTTCATTTAGGCTTGAGAATCTTTTACATGCAAGTAAATCTAAAAACATGGGACAGCCATCTTTACTTCCCCTCCGAAGGAAGGTGTATGAAGGAATTTTTTTGCCCTTAAAAATCCATGGCTTTGATCGGGGTTGAACCCTCCAACTTGGGTATAACAGTCCGATAGGCTAACTGTTACACCATCGCCGCGTGCAAGAATGGTAAAAGAGAGCCTATTTTTAGGCTGAAGGTTTTGCAATTGTAAGAAATAATAATTACTTGATCCTTTCTCTGATACTTTTTGATAGTTGATACAATAAAAGATTAAAAACAGCATCCTTCCAGATGAATGATTTTTTACATTCTGCTAGCTTATGCAACCCTGTTTCTAAATCAATAAAGGTAAGCAATTCATTTAGGTTTATGACAGTCTTAATTTCATAAAATTAAATAATAAAGGCAGATTTTTTCACTATTACTGCAGGTAGATATCATAGACTGATGAATTTGAATTTGTTAAAGGTCTTTTTATTATTTAAGATACTAATACTTCTTATGTTTGCTTTATACATTTATAAAGAGGGCCCGGATAAAAGTTTTGCAGATGGAACCACATTCATTTCGCTATGCTACTGTGTATAAGCTATATTCAAGGAAATCTGCTGTAGCATTATGGATCACCAGTTTAATGCTAATTGCTCTTCAGTTTCAACCACTATAGTATTATTGCATTTGCAGATGTCAAGAAAATTGCTTGTTTAGGCTACACAATGACAAATTTCACATATTCAAATATTTTATTTCTTTGCCATTTGTGCTCCATAAAGTAATAAGGATGTACACTTATGGGAAAGTGTAAAAAAGAGACGTCTGGTATGACTTTGCTCTTAAATATGATTACTGGTATTTTCTTGACATTGTCTTACGAAGTTCTTAATCATCATGAGTGATTAGAGTGCAAGGTTGTAACATCTGTATTAATTTGGTTTACAATACACCCAATGAATTAACTCTTCAGTGCGCTTAGTGGGCCTCAGAGGCCTGGTGGTGTTTCTTATTACTGTAATTATTTTCCTGGCCACATTACAACTTTGTCCTTTTATGATACCTCCATTGTTGTTTCTTTTCTTATGACAAAGGTTAGCATTATAAGTGACTGTATTTTTCCAGATTTTTCAACATTACTGCAGGTAGATATCTTTTCCATTAAGTGGGCCTCCGAGGTGTGGTCGTCTGTTTTCCCTTAACTTATCTTTTAATGCATAAGAAACACATTTGTGTTGTTGGATTTTGTATGCACTCTTCCCAGACTTTTGTAGAGTTATTTTGAAAGTTATTTACTTGGATTGTGCAAGTAACATATCATGATCACATAAATGAGGAATAAAGATTTTTTGGTGCTGTGATTCAGTGTATGGAATTGCAGTACATGAAAAAATATACTATGGAAGAAGAAAAGTTGAGCTTGTTACAAAAGATTTGGTATGAAAAGCAATAAAGAAATTGGTACAGCCATTATTCTGTGGATGATATAACATGACAGATAATTTGTTTATGCCTGCAGACTTGTTTGAATTTCTAAAGGAGAAGAAACTAACATTTCTGGGATGATTGCAGGGTAACCAGGGGGAAAAAACTTCTAAATTGCAAGATTTTAATCGTAAGAGAATCATATTCTAGTATTTTTGAACCTCAGTGACATCTTACAATGGCATCACACAATTCCAGGTATTGTCATTGCCAACAATATTGTTTATTACAAGAGCAGCTTTCAATGGTTTAGCCAACATCAGTTTCCTGATACAAGAAATATAAACAAATTAAAACATTAAAATTAACAGATTACTAATTGTACATGGCATTGCAAAAGACAAACAAGAACAAAAACTTTATCTTCTAGCACAATTCATCTGGACCAAAAATGTCATGAAAAAAAAAAAATCAT